TAATTAGGAAAGAAAGTAACAGTTTTTAATTAGGATGGAAAGTAACAGTTTTTAATTAGGAAAAAAAATTAGCAGTTTTAACTAGGAAAGAAAGTAACAGTTTTAACTAGGAAAGAAAGTAACAGTTTTAATTAGGAAAGTAAGTAACAGTTTTAATTAGGAAAGTAAGTAACAGTTTTAAATAAAATAAACGTAGGGGCCATTTCATAGTGTCATAAGTATACTTTGGATAAAATAGACCTAGGGGCCATTTCATAGTAACTTAAGTATACTTTGGATAAAATAGACCTAGGGGCCATTTCATAGTGCCTTAAGTATACTTTGAGTAAAACAGACCTAGAGGCCATTTCATAGTAAATTATCTAAACTTTGAACGTCAAGAAAATGTTCCCTCTTTTATATAAAAATCTGTGATTACTCTTTACATACATAACCAATCTCTTCTTCCATTTCACATCCTTTGTTATATTAATCTTCAGTTGATGACTTGTTTAACTGTGGTATTTTATATCTCGTTGTTTCGTGTTGTATGTGGAAAATGTTTATATCCGAATTACAACAACTTGTGTTCTACAGACGTACGTTGCCGATATATTTCTCGCCCAGAGTTGGCAAGACTACAGACTACGATTGCCGGAAAACATGACAGAAGACTACAGAATCCTCAACGTTGATTGGTTGAAGTTTATCTGGAGACCAGATACCTTCTTCAAAAACGCCAAACAAGTGACGTTCCACGAAATGACTGTTCCAAACCACTACTTATGGCTGTACTACGACAAAACGTTGTTGTATATGGCCAAGTAAGCTTTTCATTGTTTACCTCTTCACACGTACAGTGTTTTTATTATTAAACACTAACACTTAATGGACATCACTTTACAGAAATTAAATATCCAAAAAAAACTGAATATCTTTGTTTCGAAGTTAAGTTTGAAACGTCTAACTATTTTGATTTCTTTTGTTGCTGAGCTTAGAGCTACATAATGGGCTATGCGTGTTTCGTCCAGCGCGGGTATAGAAACCCGGGTTTTACCCACGAACCACTGTAAGAGAATGCAGGAAAGAACATAACAGTAAAATAAAAAAGTAAAACAGTACAAAGAAACGGTAAAAAATTAATAGATAAAATAACTGAACTTGTAATTATCATTTGTGTTCAATAAACACGTAACTTTTGCTATACTATTTATATTCCATTTCACGATAGAAGAAGTCCAACGTAACTTCTGACTATTCCCGGCCTCAAAAAGAACTGTTGGTGAAGACCATAGTATCTATAAAATATCCTGTATTTGAAAGTATGATCCACAGCTGGTCTTTCCTAGTTAAAACTGTTATTTTCTATCCTAATTAAAACTGTTACTTACTTTCCTAATTAAAACTGTTACTTTCTTTTCTAATTAAAACTGTTACTTACTTTCCTAATTAAAACTGTTACTTTCTATCCTAATTAAAACTGTTACTTTCTATCCTAATTAAAACTGTTACTTTCTATCCTAATTAAAACTGTTACTTTCTTTCCTAGTTAAAACTGTTACTCTCTTTCCTAATTAAAACTGTTACTTACTTTCCTAATTAAAACTGTTACTTACTTTCCTAATTAAAACTGTTACTTTCTATCCTAATTAAAACTGTTACTTTCTATCCTAATTAAAACTGTTACTTTCTTTCCTAGTTAAAACTGTTACTCTCTTTCCTAACCAAAGTATACTTAAGGCACTATGAAATGGCTCCTACGTCTATTTTATCTAAAGTATACTTAAGTTACTATGAAATGGCCCCTACGTCTATTTTATCCAAAGTATACTTAAGGCACTATGAAATGGCCCCTAGATCTATTTTATCCAAAGTATACTTAAGGCACTATGAAATGGCCCCTAGGTCTATTTTATCCAAAGTATACTTAAGGCACTGTGAAATGGCCCCTAGGTCTATTTTATCCAAAGTATATTTAAGTTACTATGAAATGGCCCCTAGGTCTATTTTATCCAAAGTATACTTAAGGCACTGTGAAATGGCCCCTAGGTCTATTTTATCCAAAGTATATTTAAGTTACTATGAAATGGCCCCTACGTCTATTTTATCCAAAGTATACTTAAGGCACTATGAAATGACCCCAAGGTCTATTTTATCCAAAGTATACTTAAGG